TTAAGAGTCTTTTTATTTCAGAATCTGCCAAAATTCTTCTTTTTTCTGGTTTATTCTTAAACCTTGAATATTCCGAGATGTTCTGTTACCAATATAAATTTATACTTGATAATTTCATATATTTACTTTATAAACCTGAGTTTTAGTTAAACTGGTTAAATTATACGAACTAACTAGTTAAACCAGCTAGTCACGTATAAATTGTATTGTAAAATTAAAGTGGTCAGACTACTTATTGTATGCTGTGGCTTTATTAAAAATATGAGAAAAGAATATAATTTAAGATTTATACAGAGGATTGGAAATTTTAATTCTGCACGTGATTAAGTTATGCGTAATAAAAAGAATTTGATTCATAAAGAAAGTTTTTTTAAAAAAAAATGGTTTCAGAATATTACGAAGATTTTAAAATTCAAGAGACTTTTATCATTCAAAATTATGAAATAATTGTACCCTTTTATTTAACAATTCCTAATGAAAAAAATTTAAATGTATATTTTCAACTTATCGATGATACTTCTGTTGAATTTTATTCATATTTGTACGATAGCGAATTTTCTATCAAAGCAGAGTATACAAAGATTATTAGTTATTTGAAAAATAGATTTGTGAAGTTTCAAAATGTTACTTTTTTCAACCGTTACAAAAAAATTATTGAAGCTGATAAAATAGAATATATAATGTATTATCCAGATAGATTTTTTTATTGAAATTACATTGAAAAAGGGTTTTATCATGAATCTGCAACATATATTAAATATTTTATTTTAACAAATACTTATGCATTTGTTGATTCTAAAAGTGAGCATTCTCTTGAAAGTTTAATAGTTTTTTAATTTTCAATTAGTTTTGACATTAAATTTATTATTAATTAGTTGGTTATAGTAATTGAGAATTAGGTCATGTTTGATAGTTTTATTATTTTTTCTTTTTTTATCTTTCGAAATATTGTAAATAATTTTTTTATTAACTAATATAAAAAAATTTTTTATAAGTGTAATGGATACTTTAAATTTAATTGGCTAATAAATTTTTTTTTACATTTTAGGTTGTTTACAAAATGCCTAGAGATGTTTCATAATTTTCAGATTCTTTAATATTTATTTGATCTGCTATCTTTTGAATTTTTTCTATTACTTTCAAGTTCATTTGAAAAATGTCCTAAAACAACGCTGGACAGTTATATGATAGCGTACTTTGAAAAAATACAAGTTCTTGAAAAACATAGGTAAAACGTATTTCCAATTACAGTACAAAGAAAATAAAAGGAATGTTTATTAATAAAGCAAAATTTATTCTTTGAATATTTTGATATTTTTATCTCTCATTGTGACATTAGAATATCAATAAACATATGGACGTATGTAGTGACGTATTGACGTCACTACTCAAATTTTATATGACGTAGATGACGTACTACTTTTGTACTAGTTTCATTTTCCGACGGCCTCTAGTTGCCGTCGGAGAACGAAATATAAAAGGTAGTTTCATATTATGAAGTTTGGCAAAATTAAGGCTTAAGTTGGGTCCGTTGACTATTCTGGCTTGTTCTTTGTTCGTTAATAATCAAAGCTCGAATTTTGTCGTCAAAAAGTAAAATTTTCGAAAGCAAAACTAATTGCTGCGGGACTAGCTTTTTTTCAATTTTATTATATGGGGGTAGATAAATAAATATATTTTTTTTTTGAATTAAATTTATTTGAATCTTTTAAAATTGAATTAAATCAAAGAAATACAAATATTTAAGGAGCCGATAAATAAATATATAAATTTCTTGCAATTATATTTTCTTTAATAATTGAAATAATTTGAACCGAAAAAAATAAATCAACTAAATAATAGTTTATACTAACTCAATAATAAAAAGCTCAAAGAGAATTGCTTTTGAAAATTCTCACTAATCTAGGTTCAAACATATTCACGTCAAGCCTCCATCACGAACAATAATAATTATTAAAAGTGCAGTTATTAAACGTTAAATGGTTATAAATATTTCTACTATTTTGATTATCCTGATTGCTATGAGAATTAGGAGTAGGTGTTTCTTGGCGCGAATTAGGAATTTCTTGTTGATGAGAATCAGGATTATCTTGTTGATTATCTTCTAATATCGAAATATGCTCATCATCGCTACGAGGATTAGGTGCTTCTTGACGCGAATTAGGATTTTCTTTTGGTCTTTGTATTGTAATACTTCGTTGCAATCGCCGTAACTCCGATAATGTAGTTTGATGTATCCTTGAGACATGTCCTTCGATATCTTTAAAATGACGACTACATCTTGGGCATTTAGAATATCCACTTGATCTTCCTCTATTTACTGGAGGCATTCATTTTAGATTATAATTTCGTACAACTTCTGTTATGGAACGCCAATGATAAAAAGTGGGCTATATGTTCCATCTCTTTTGGAGTCCTAATATATAGAAAAAATTTTTATCAACAAATAGAGCAAGTTTTTTTTCTCATTGAATACTATATTTTGTTACAGTATATACGTAAACAAAATTTTTTTTTCAAATACGAACCCATTTAAACGAATATTTACCAAATATAAAATAGTACTACTATGATATATAATTTAAGTTCGGTATACGCGTGAAAAAAAAAAAGATCAAAAATTCGAACTGTCCATAGGGTCACGGCAATTGACTAAGAGATTATTTTTGTGTATGACCGATTCCAAATTTGTAATAATATAAAACTACTCGAATTTTTTTTATTTATAGAGATTTTAAAAGTACTTTATTTATTAACGTTATATAATAATTTATATTCACATTAATATTCCGTTTAAAGATAAATCGATTCGTAAATCATATTTAAAGTAACAAGTAACAATGGTTCGGGACTGATAAAAAAATGCCTCGCAAAGATCATCATAAAAAAACTCAAAATAAACTTAATGTGAAGCTTCGTTCAGACAATATAAATGTTAGTGAAATAAAATAAAAAATTAATTAAAGAACGTAAATATTTCTTATCACGACAGTTGAATAGAAACGAGATCTTTACAAAATGTTATGAATTAGAAAACTCTAAGCTTACCGAATTGGAAACTCAAATTGAATCACTAATTTCCAAAGTTAACCGATTAGAAAATGATAAAATTTTATATCAAACTGAAAATAATAAACTTAAAGAAGAATTACAATAATAAAACAGAGCTTGAAAGATATTATAATGTTATTCAAAGAACTTATTCTATATTACAGGAAGTGTTCGGTTCTAATGAAATAGGTAAAATCAAAACTTTTGCAATTCAAATTTATATTTTCTAATATTAAATATATTTATCAGATATTAGGCAATTAGCAGACCTATGTAATGAAATTAGAGAAATTTGTGATGAAGATTTTGTATGTGGTTCTAATATTCCAAGTGCATCAGATAATATAGGTAAAAAAATTTTTTTAACTAAATGAATTTTAATACTATTATAAATAAACCGAATTCTCTAAATTTAATACATTACTGTAAATCAATAGTATACAATTCATTTGATGATGCTCTTAATGCTTCTGAGGAAAAAATAGCTGAGATAGTTGAAGATGGTAGAGAACAATTTCCAACTTTAGTTCGATCACAACGTTTTTATGATGCAAACGAGCAAGAATTTGATACTGATAAATTTATTTTTTAAAATGTTTGTTAATTAACATTGTGTGAAATTATCTCTTTTGAATGAATATAAAATTTTGTAATTTTTGCAAACATTGAGTTATTTTTCATGGATTTTTAAAATCTTTTGTTGAGCAATTATTGCTATGTAAAATGAGTTTGTCGACTCCCAGATATTAAGGCAGATATTCTAGGGCAAAATAAATGTAAAAAAATACTCGTTAAATATGTACGAGATTCGACATGCCCACATGGGCGTTATTTAAAACAATGACCCGAATTAGGCTTAACATGGGCCAAAATTCGAAATTATACCCTCAAGTTGATTTTAAAAAATAGCTTTTATTATTTATCTTAGAAAAAAAAAAACAGTAATTTATGTAATAATCACTCTTTGAGAGTGAATTTATTATTAAAGATACTCAAGAACAATTTTGTTTCTTTAAATTGAATTTTGCCCATGTTTCTTCGAGAGCGACTTTAATATAACTTGTTTCTTCAAATTCGCAAACTGCTGCAATTAATGTATATATAATTTAAACAAGGAATTACCAAATCTAGGATTTTTTTTCGATATACAAAAAGCTTTATTTCATTTGTAAAAAATCAAATTAATATAGTAGAATGATAAACCAAATTATATAATACAATAAAAAAGAAATTATTTAATTGATAATGGACAAAAAACTCTTATCAGACATTATGCTTGCAAATTTCAATTGCATATGAGAGCAATATATAATTTAATGATAGCATGACCAACGGACACAAGAACTAATACAAAGTGGGCCGACCCTATTTCAGAATTTTAGAAAACTGAGTCATGTAAAGTAAATTTAATAAGAATTAGTAGAAATCATAAATGGTACTTCCATATAGCTTTCTCACAACCAAAATACTTCAATGTTAGTCTATGCGACAGTTTATTCAGTTATAATTTGTAATTTCTATTGTTGGAAAACGTTATTCTATAGTTAAAAGAAATAGAAAAAGAACGGCCCATTGAGTACACGTTCTTGACCGGCCCATAGAGCACACAGTCATAAACTCTAAAGAAGCGATTAATTCAAGCTTTATGAAATAAAATACATTTAAACTAAAAATAAAATTTTACTTCTCGAATTTAGAGATCAATTTAGTTTTTTAATTTCGTCATTAGAAATTATGGCAAGTTTTCATCTTTGTACCCAAAACTTTTATCTTAATTAATTTGTTGGAAAGATCGAGACAAGTGCAAGTTATATCTATCACAATACAGTATACGTAAATAGTTTTAATTTTAATTGATCACACTGTGTGTGGGATTCACTTGAGTATCCCCTAAACAGATTATGCAAGATGTTACAACGTTTCACAGTTCAGCAGTTATACAAAACTTTAATTATTTAAAATTGGGTAAATCTTGTCATAACGATAAAACTAGAATTAATTTTGATAATCTCCTAAACAGTTTATGCATTTTTAGTAGATTATGCAAGACGTTCCAACGTTTCACATTATACAAAATCTAATTGGTACTTAAAGTTGGCTAAATTTTTAATTTTTATGCAATAATTATACATTTTAAGTATCTTCTAAGCAGATTATACAAGACATTCCAATGTTTCAGTTATACAAAATTTTAAATAAATTTTGTCAGTATTATTCATTTTGAGTAGATTATGCAAGACGTTCCAATGTTTCACGGTTATACAAAATTCTTAAAGTTGGCTAAATTTTTAATTTCATATGTTGATTATGCTATAGTCTTACATTTTGAGTATTTTAAGCAGATTATGCAAGATGTTCCAATATTTCACAGTTTTACAAAATATTAATTGGCTAAATAAATAAATCTTGTCAGTAATAAATCTTGAGAATCTCCTAAACAGATACATTTTGAGTAGATTATGCAAGACATTCTAACGTTTCACAGTTATACAAAATATTAATTACTTAAAATTGGCTAAATAAATAAACCTTTGTCAGTAAACTAGAATTGATCTTGAGAATCTCCTGAGCATTTGATTATATATTTTGAGTAGATTATGCAAGACGTTCCAACGTTTCACATTATACAAAATTCTAATTGGTACTTAAAGTTGGCTAAATTTTTAATTTCATATATTGATTATGCAATAGTCTTATATTTTGAGTATCTTCTAAGCAGATTATGCAAGACGTTTCAACATTTTTATGGTTAGACAAAATCTAATTAGTACTTAAAGTTTGCTAAATTTTAATTTCATATGTTGCTTATGCAATAGTTATACATTTAAAGTATCTTCTAAGCAGATTATGCAAGACGTTCTAACGTTTCACAATTATACAAAATTTTAATTATTTAAAATTGGCTAAATAAATAAATCTTGTCAGTAAACTAGAATTAATTTTGAGAATCTTCTGAGCAGATTATACGTTTTGAGTAGATTATGCAAGATGTTCCAACGTTTCACGGTTAAACAAAATTTTAATTGGTACTTAAAATTGGCTAAACTTTAATTTCATATGTTGATTATGCAATAGTCTTACATTTTAAGTATCTTCTAAGCAGATTATACAAGCCGTTCCAACGTTTCACAGTTATACAAATATTAATTACTTAAAATTGGCTAAATAAATAAATCTTGTCAGTAATAAACTAGAATTAATTTTGAGAATCACCTGAGCAGATTATACATTTTGAGTAGATTATGCAAGACATTCCAACGTTTTACAGTTATACAAAATTCTAATTGGTACTTAAAGTTGGCTAAATATTTAATTTCATATATTGATTATGCAATAGTCTTACATTTTAAGTATCTTCTAAGCAGATAATGCAAGACATTCCAACGTTTTTATGGTTAGACAAAATCTAATTGGTACTTAAAGTTTGCTAAATTTTAATTTCATATGTTGCTTATGCAATAGTTATACATTTAAAGTATCTTCTAAGCAG